TTACACAGCCTACTCAGTGGAATGACAATATAAAGGAACTAGACCTCAATTGTCAGGGGAGTAGGAGAGCCTGGTTTTATCAGCATGCTGCTATATCAACCAGGTCAAAGTTAGCCTTTTATAGAGCCTCTGCATCTCATTCTTCCTTTTTACTTTTGTTCAAAGCAGTCTTCCAGCTCTTTGAACTCTTCCTCAATCACTAATTTCTCCTTTAATATCAGACCCCTGACCTCTTGTACCTTTTTGCATTTTATTTAATGCCTAGGTGTTATCCTCACATCCTTTGTGTTAACTATTGCTTGGCCAAAGCTGTTGCTATTCATTTTGGCTTGCTTTTCTCCTTAGAATTAATTCCATTTTCTTAAAGAGCTGACCAGTTAGTGAGCAGATGTCTAAAATCTTATTTTGAGTTTAAGAAATCTACCTTAGATCCTGATTAGAAATTGAATGTCATAAAAATAAAAACTGTACAGTGAAGGGGCCTTTAGGACACATGTATATTTTTAAAAATCCACTCTCCAGCCATGTACCTTTGTTCCCTCCTTTTCTAGTTGTCATCTAAGTGAGCCCCTGAATAGCACTAAAATGTGGTTCACTGACTTGTCCTGCTGATTAGAAAAATGAGCAGGAAGCACATCATTTATGGTGAATGTAATGATCAGAATGTTAGAGCAAAAACATCCTTAGAGGCTTTGACAATTTGTTGCCAGAATGACATTTGTTTTTGCAGTTGTTTTTCAGTCAGTCAGAAGAGGGCCTTTCCTTACTTCTTAGAAGTTGTGATTCTGACCCTAGTGTTCTGAGGCCAGTATGTTAGGTTTACCTCTCATACATACAAGAACAGGGAAGAGAATGAGCAACTTCATGTCCTGGATAATCTCACCTTTCTCTTTTATAATGAGGTATTAAGATATTTATTTCTGTACTTTTATTTCCTGAATTTTAAGATAGAGCTGTCATATCCTCTGACCTCTCAGGGGTTTGATTAGAAGGGTCATGTATCATCAGTCTTCTTGGATATTCCCCCTCACATTTGCTTGGTACTTTTTTTGTTGTTCTTTATTAAGAGCTTTGTATGCCATTTTCACATTCTTGATTATTGATGTTGCTTTGAATGTCCATTTGGGAAGAAAATCAGTTTCTTTTCCTCCCTGAAGAAATTGGAGTTTGGATCTTTTGCATCATTTTGCATAAAATTAACATGTTGATTTTATATAAACCCATAGGTTACAGGTTAATTTACATAAACCTGACATTCAAGAAGGTAAAGACCTTGTCAAGGAAAATAAAATAAATCAAACCAGATGAAACCAAGTATATTCAAGCTATTAGAAAATGGGGTGGGCAAAGAGGAGCTGTGGGGTAGAAATTTCTTATAGTTTAATTCACAAAAGGAAATAGGTTATCTAATCCATCCTCTCACCAGTGTAGGAATCCTTTCTAGAGCATACCACACAAATGATGGTCCATTTCACTGTTTTCATTTTCAAAACCTAGTTCCTAGTAAAGCAACCTCTTTATTTTTGAAAATCCTTTGTTAGGTAGCCAAAATATGTCCTTTGGTAAACTTCTACAAGTGGATCCTAGCTATGCCTCCTGGAGCCTCACAGAATCAATCTAATCTAATGGATCTTAGAGTCTATAGACAGGGCTTAAATGACCCTACAAACCCCCTGAAAATCTACACACAATTGTGTATGGGGGTGTGTGTGAATGGATGCATGTTTATATAGCTATATTATATTTTCAAAGGGGGCATATCATCCTCAAAATATTTATACCAACCAGGGCTGGCTTTATAAGTATATGACTTATGCAGTTGCACAGGACCCCACATTTAAAAGGGACCTATACTTACTTGGTTTAAGACTTTGCTGTTGACATTGTGAAAATTAATAAACAGAAACCGCATTTAAAATGAAGTTGGGAGGTTAGCAGAGAGAATTTTCATGCATATGTTACCCAACCCAATGCATCTCTGACAGGAAGTGATATTACTTGACTACCTGAACAAGAGAGAGAAAAGATTCATCTTTGCCAAGTAACAACTCAGCCAATGGGAAACTGCCATAATTCAGCCAATGAAAAGTCACTATACTTCAAAATTTTAGTTTCTTCTAATTGACTCTTTTATGGACAGCTCCTCTCAAGTCCATAAAAGATCATTCTTCTGTTTTCCTGGACTTGGGCATGGTTCACCATTAGACCACATATACTGAATTGTGATTCTTTGATGTTTCCTAATAAAACCACTTTGCTAGAGAAAT